TGTCAAGTTTGTAAATCTACCCCAAACAACACCTTGTCTTATTCTTTCCCTTGTGAAAAAGAAGAGTGCTTAATTGTATTGAATGTGCACTTTCAAATCTTAAAAGTATATTTTTAAAAACTCTACTTGCAGGTAATATTATATTAATGAAATAAAGGTCACTTAACTGTATTGAAAGAGTCTACACTGTTTCTTAACACACTTAAGTAGATATTTTAAAAAAGCATTTTAAGTGTAGTATGTTATTTGATATTAAATTTAAAGTTTATATATTTTAAATGTGCTAAATCGAAACTTCGTTTAATATATTTAAATACATGAAATACAAGTAATTTCACATAAATTTAAGCTATAATCCTTTTTTTTCATTTATTTGTAAATATCATGCAGTTAGGTGTCAGTTCACACTTAAGTGTATTCCTTTATAGGTGACATATCATGAAAATCTGACTTTTCCAGGTTTTAAGTGCTATAATCAGGTCCCCGGTGCATCTACCAACCAATGAAACGTGAAAAAGATTAACCCAGTAACTTTGTTTTGGGAAGCATTTTTCTGCAAGCGTCTGAGAAAACCAGCGCGTCTGATTTCGCTCCCTTGGTGACGTGGCAAAGGGATCTCATTATAATATTATCGCCCCTTAATCTGTAAGTTCACACCCACGGCGCCGTCATTTTGATTTCGCAAGCGACAACAATGTACCAGTTCTAACGTCATGATGAAAGTTTGAGCAAAACATGCTAACTGTTCTGTGTTTGGCTGCACAGACGAGCACAGAACACTGTTTAGAGTCCCAGCCTCAGAGGAGACAAATATTATTTCTGTAATAAGTAGTCCTTTTAAAAGTATACTTCTTTTTTCTGTCTTTTTCTAATCTTATCTCTCTCTCCTTTCTCATTCCATGGCGATCACTAGCACTCAGTGCTGTGGTGTGGAATAATTAAACCATTCAGTGAGCAGGGCTTTCCTGTAAAATACAGCTACGCCTTCCTCATTTTGATAGGATGAGTGCTTTTCCATGGCACAAGTCCCACTGGCTGCTCTCTGAATGAACATGGAGGAGGTAGAGTGAAAGGTTGCACAATGATTTATTGCTGCATTTGCACCTAGATTCCAGTCAGATAACTCAAGTTCAATAAACTCCTCTCACATACACACACGCGTGGCTTTCTAAGACTTCAGAAACCGGAGCAGTTACCCCTCCATGCGCCTGCAGATAGATTAGCATCCAGCTCAAAGCAGCAGTACATCAAAAGAAGCTTTGATGCTCAGTATGGCTGCACAGAGGGGCAGGTGAGGGAAAGGGTGGCCCCGTGCAGTCAACAAGGATTCTGGGAAATACTCCCAGCTTTTAGAGCTGGAGGAATCTTTAGCCTTCTCGGAGTGGGAGATAGATGCAGGGGGAAAAGGGGGAAACCTGCAGCTTTATTCGGGATGAAAAAGCGCAGAGGGTGGCCGTGTGCTCTGGAGGTTCAGTGGTTTGAGTGGGACCATATGGAAGGCTATTCATGTCAAGGAAATGATGAATAGACGATTATTCAAGCTTAGTACCTGGTATTTGCTTTATAGCGGTGATCATTCAAAGCACAAACCAAGAAATGAATGTCAAATCGTACCTATTGCACAATATGATTATTATTTAATTAACACTTCCAAGGTGTAATTGCTCAAAAGTGTGAAACGCAGCTCAAGAGAACTCTGTGTGTTAATCAGTGTAGTCTGTCAGTTGTTGTCTCTGTCTAGATTATTATGTTTAATTATTGCTTTTATTACATTCATTGTTAAACGCTCCACTAAAATATTTTCATGATCTTTCTTAGGAACTGGATGAAAAGCGTGATTTCAAACATGTCACACATGTTTATTGCTTTTTATTGCTAGCATCTTAGCAAATGTACATCATGCAGGTATGTGTATCATGAAAAACCAAACCAAGATTTCCTCGTAAATCATAAAGAGAAGATCAACTTCTCAGATCTAGTCATGAACTTAACATCAAAGAAATATCGAGATACAGTGCATGTGTTACCAAATTAAACCATGCTGGTTGACCAAGTTTCATTTTACCATTTACTTTACCCAATGGATATACTGGTCCACCAATGTGACCAGCACCAAACGATGTGTAAAACAACATTTTCAAAATCAACTAGTCAGTGGGTTGTCAAACAGGTAGTACGTAGTTTTTTTTATTTTTTTTGTCAAAAATAGACTGTAAACTTCAATTAACTTCTAACTAATTTAAATCAATATTTGGTATGAACACCCTCTGCCTTTAAAACAGCTTTTGTCCTCGGTACATTTGCACACAGTTTTTAAGGTAGAATTGCAGTTTATTTCTCCAAAAGTCTTGGAAATATTTCCACAGTTCTTAAAGGGATAGTTCACCCAAAAATGAAAATTCTGTCATTAATTACTCACCCCCATGTCGTTCCAAAAGTTGTTAATTGTAATGTTTTATCAGCTGTTTGGACTCTCATTCTGATGGGAATGTCAGTGGAAAAACATCTAACTCGCCGAAGACTTTTGCACAATGCTGTATTGTACACCCCTACATCAAACCAGAAGTAATTCATCTTGGCCTAAGCCGGGAGTGTAGCAGGGAGTGCTATTCCAAACATGCATAAGCCACCTTGTCTTGTGTGTGAATTGCTCATCTCCTGATGCTACTGTTGTGCAATAACTGTGTGTGTTTTTAGCCACCAACTGTTTGTGTCTGTACCCACCAAGAAATCACAGATGGCAATGACAAAGCATAATCAAAGAAACAATGACAAAAAAGGTTTTCCTCTGGTTGGAAGCAATCAAGCATCCCCTGGCAGTTATTTGATCACAAAATAATTCTGGTAGCCCCGGCAGTGTTGTTTCAACACAGGGGATATGGCAGATACACTCCGTTGGTCCGCCCTGTTTTATGGGCGGCTGTTACAGCTTCTGCTAGCAAATATCCCCGAGAGCATGTGATAGTGTCTTGCAGTTTTTAATTAATGCATAAGCCTGGCGATGTTAATTAAACCCAGACTGATCATTACCCACCAGGAAAGATCATAAGGATGCTTGTGCTGGTGGCCAACAAATGCTGATCTCAACTGAGGAGTTACTAGGGATGGGCGATATCTTATCGTTTGCGATATACCGGTAAAAATTCTCCACACAATAAGAATTCGTCTTCCTGCGATAATAACGATAAAGTCTAGTTGTTGACATATTTCTGTGTGCGACTGTGTGGAGTGACGTGAAGGAAGGCGGACGTGAAATTGAGCAGCTCCTTCTACAATCTGGAACAGGTTTGGATAGGGCTGTACAGTGCGACAAAAGTCTGAGCCTTGAGTAAATGTACTACAGTAGCACATGTGCCACACAGTTTTACATGTGTATGAATCGTTTACAAACCTGTTGTCCAGCAAAGATATTTTAATTTATTGACATGCTTTTTCTCCATATTAACTTCATAACATAGTCGAGTGTTTGAAATAACTTATTTTTGTGAAATCACAGAATAAGGCAGAAATCATACTATTTTATAGCATTATATCCAACCCGTCGATCGCGATCAACTGGTAGATCTTTATCACTGTCCCAGTAGATCCCGAAAAAAAACAGTAAAATAAGTACAAAGAGTTTTAGGTAAATTATTTAGGTAAACTGCTTATTCAATTTATCTTGGCTTTGTTAAATATCATAATAAGGGAGCGTAAAGGGGCAGTTCACCCCTAAAAATTTGACAAAATCATGGAGTAAAATTGATTCAGTCACCCTCCTCATGTCATTCCAAACTTGCCATTTCATTTTATTAATTTTTTTCTGTGGAACACAAAATAATTTTAGTAACCAAAAGCATATTTTGAAGAATGTTGGTAACCAAAAGTGTATTTTGAAGAATGCTGGCAACGAAAAAGATATTTTGAAGGATGTTTGTTAGCAAAAAAAAAAAAAGAACAATGTTGGCAGCCAAACGTGTATTTTGATGATTGTTGGTAACAAAAAGTGTATTTTGAGGAATGCGTTTAACCAAAAAGATATTTTGAAGAATGTTGGTAACCAAAAGAGTATTTTGAAGAATGCTGGCAACGAAAAATATATTTTGAAGAATGCTGGTAACCAAAAGTGTATTTTGAAGAATGCTGGCAACGAAAAGCACATTTTGAAGAATGTTGGTAACCAAAAGTGTATTTTAAAGGATGTTTGTAAGCAAAAAAAAAAAGAACAATGTTGGCAGCCAAACGTGTATTTTGATGATTGTTGGTAACAAAAAGTGTATTTTGAAGAATGCGTGTAACCAAAAATACATTTTGAAGAATGTTGGTAACCAAAAGTGTATTTTGAAGAATGCTGGCAACGAAAAAGATATTTTGAAGAATGCTGGCAACGAAAAAGATATTTTGAAGAATGCTGGTAACCAAAAGTGTATTTTTAAGAATGTTGGAAACCAAAAAGATGTTTTTGAAGAATTTTGGTAAACAAACATTTTTGGGGCCCAATGACTTCCATGGTATTTTTCTCCATCAAAGGGTGAACATCAAAGAGACCTGAAACTGTCTGGTTATCAACATTCTTCAAAATACACTTTTGATTACCAAAATTCTTTAAAATATCTTTTGGTTACCAACATTCTTCAAAATATCTTCTTTTTGTTCCACAGAAGAAACAAAGTCATACAGGAGTGAATGATGATAGAATTTTCATTTTTGGGTGAACTATTCCTTTAAGGCCTATAAGTTAGAAAATTGATGAGTCAGAATTATTTGTGCATTGTTTCTTGACCCCATTCTATTTTTAACATACTTTTCATATTTTACACATGCAGAAAGACTGCATATGCAGACAACATTAATCTTGGGCAACATCCAACAGCAGAACAACATGTTTTTGTTGAAACACAAAAGGCTTAGTTCACACCTCTTAAATACACTTAGCATGAACGTATGCATTCAAATTCTGAAAAACTGGTTCTCCTTTCGGTTTGAATTGATGAAAAATGAAAGACTGCAATATCACTTACTTCATAGGTTTGAACAGGGCTTGTCCGTAGTTCTGGAATGACATGATGAGCTTCAGCTGAGTGCCACCTGACTTCATTGCTGTGAAGGGAACATAATTGCTTTAACAACAGCCGACCAGCTTTCTAAAAACAAGACAATATGCACACGCACCCACACAAACTAACACAATCTTCTCTTCCAGCATTCATGCTAAATAGCTTTTGCTCTAACTTACACAAGCATGTATTAGCTGTGATGTTTTGCAGTCTTGTAAACAGCAGTGGTGATCTCTTAGTGCATTTTGTCAGACTGTCAGCAAATCTCATGAATACATGCAGATTCCCATGAGTAGCTATGCAACCATCTGCTGCTCATGAGAGTCAAAGAGTTCAATGGTTGAAATATCAGTAACGAGTTATGGTGCACATTTGTGAGTTACAGCAGTATGGCCGTCTCAGGGTACTTCAAATGAAGTGTGAGTGGCGTGACACTCATTTTTTCGTAATTCATTATAGTTATTACAGGTAAAACTATTTTTTTTATAATTCATTATAGTTGTTATAGGTAAAACTAAAACAGTATTAAAAAGACATTTTCAGTACTAGAAATAAACAATAAAAAACGCTCAAACGTATTTTATTTCAGATAGTTCCCAAGCAGTGTTGCCAAGTCTGCGGTTATCCCGCGGAATTGGGCTACTTTCACACTGTTGCCACGGGTTGAAGCAACCCCAATAACGTGATATTTAGCCCCTAAAATGTGAATTTTACCAGGTGAACCCCGCCAAAAAACGTGTGTTTTATCCCCTGGAACACAATTTTTATCGGGGACTCCTCGAAAAGCAATTGGGCGGGTTTTGTTGTGAAAACCTGGCAACCCTGTTCCCAAGGCAACATTTCTCATTTAAATTAAGTTTACCTTGATGCACTGTACTAACATAACCAAAACTGCAATAGTAATAATAATAAAAATAAATAAATAAAAAACTTATAAAAAGACAATTAAAAATGACAAATCACAACAAAATTACTAAAACGTTAATTACAATTAAAATGGAAAATAAAAATAGCAAAAAAGTAAACACAGAATAGAATAAAATAAATTAATTCAATATATATATATATAAACTATAATAGTGACCCAATAATACTAAAGTCACACACTAATTCATACATACAGTACAATAATTTAACATTTAATTAAAATGTTGTAATTTATTCAGATATATTTTTCTTACATTACAAACTGTTCATGTGTGTATATATATATATATATATATATATATATATACACA